CAAAGAAAAGCGACAAAAACAAATAATAGCGCAAGAATTGACCCATTTCAAAATCTGACTCCTAAGCTTGTCAAAGTCATAACACCAGCAAGTGAATAGCATAAAATGATAATAAAGTTAGACACAATTCTCTCCATGATTCTATTGTCTATAATTTAGAAGCATTTCCTATGGACAATAGACGGCCCAGACTCATCGTACTCTGCTTTTGCAATCCACATCTGCAATCAAGAAAACAAGCGGAAAGCTCGAATTAGTAATCATCCAAGATCAAACTGGAACAAGATGTAAAAGTGCAGAAATGAATACAAACCTGCTGGAAGGTACTAAGGGAAGCCAAGATGGAGCCTCCTATCCAGACACTGTATTTCCTCTCGGGTGGTGCCACCACCTTGATCTTCATACTGCTTGGGGCTAGGGCAGTGATTTCCTTGCTCATTCTATCAGCAATGCCCGGGAACATGGTTGAACCACCAGAGAGTACAATGTTGCCATACAGGTCTTTCCTGATATCAACATCACACTTCATGATGGAGTTGTATGTGGTTTCGTGAATGCCTGCTGCTTCCATCCCGATCATTGATGGTTGGAAAAGGACTTCTGGGCATCGGAACCGCTCTGCGCCAATGGTGATGACCTGCCCATCTGGTAACTCATAGCTCTTCTCAACTGAAGAGCTGGTTTTGGAAGTCTCCATCTCCTGCTCATAGTCAAGGGCAATGTAAGAGAGTTTTTCCTTCATGTCCCTCACAATTTCACGCTCTGCAGTGGTAGTGAAGGAATATCCACGCTCCGTAAGAATTTTCATCAAGCTATCAGTGAGGTCACGACCAGCAAGGTCAAGACGAAGGATGGCATGGGGGAGGGCATACCCCTCATAAATGGGGACCGTATGGCTGACACCATCACCAGAGTCAAGCACAATACCTTCACAGTAAAACCAGCACACCCATCAGCAGAGACGAGAATAAAATGATTTGGGTTGAATTAAAACGTTATTTCAAAACAATCATGCATGCCATTCTTCGGTAATTGGACACAATTTCAAATTAACACCCGCAGTAGGAAAGACTAATCAATTTGCTTACCAGTTGTACGACCACTTGCATACAGGGAAAGAACAGCTTGAATGGCTACATACATAGCCGGAGTGTTAAAGGTCTCAAACATTATTTGGGTCATCTTCTCACGATTGGCCTTGGGATTCAGAGGGGCCTCAGTTAGAAGGACCGGGTGCTCTTCTGGGGCAACACGAAGCTCATTATAGAAGGTGTGATGCCAAATCTTCTCCATGTCATCCCAGTTGCTCACAATACCATGCTCAATAGGGTATTTCAAAGTTAATATACCACGCTTGGACTGAGCCTCATCACCAACATAAGCATCTTTCTGGCCCATGCCAACCATGACACCAGTGTGACGAGGGCGCCCTACAATGCTAGGGAACACAGCTCGTGGAGCATCATCTCCAGCAAATCCAGCCTAAACGGTAACATGAAAACAAGCTTTAGGATACAATGTCCGGAAAAGAAAGATAAGAAAAGGCACACCCATCCAAACCATCTGCACATCAATTTTAAAATGGCATCTTGCCAAACCAATATAAACATATTTTAATACCTTGACCATTCCCGTTCCATTATCACACACGAGTGGCTGAATGTCCTCAGCTTCTGCCATCTTCTTCTACCTGCTAGGTATACCACAATCAGTTACATCAGTTTCCTCCCCTTTTTGGCCTACAATTGCCTCATATGACAAGAAAAGGAACAGACAACACAGTACACCACGCAAAAAAAATCCCAAATGCTTTACCAAAGTTTTTGCCTTGCAATAAAACTCAACGCTCATGCATAAGATACCACAAGTCAATTACATAAACAAACTTAAAGAAGCGTTTCATCGAAACAACATGAAATATTGCTTAAAAGCAATGGAAAGACATTTAAGGAGTCAAGATTACAAGCGGGCCACACAAACACCATAATGATTTAACATAATGCCGGCCAGAAAACAGCAGAAACAGAAGTATGATTTTTCAAAAGAATGTTTGCAATATGTAAGATGCCCCAGCGGAGTCAGCACGTATCCACGACTAGTAAATGAACAATCTTATCTAAAACAATAACAAAAAGATCCAGACCGAATAGGATAAATGGCCAAAGGTGAAACATGTACCACCAACTCTCAATGCAAAACAAAACAAGCAGCAATAAGTTTGGGCCAGAGAGAAAAACTTAGAAAGACCAGATTATACGAGCTCTCAAACCACCCATCGAATTAACAATCAAAGAAGATACAAAGGATAACAATGCAGCTGCTAGTTAGCCTTTTTATGTTCATTCATGATATTTCACATTATGTAATTATGTGCTCATTGTTTCCGAAATTTTCATATACTTTACGTTTGCTGCTAACCATTTTCGAATGATGTTATGCAATGATTCTATCTAATTATATATATGTATATATACATATATATACACACACACACACACACACATAGTGTGACATGATTCAATGAAACATAACGCATCAGTTGGTCACGAAAAGCAAATGAGCAAATCCCAAGTCACCATTTCAGCATATGGAAAATCGAAAAAAAAGTCTTTCAAATCTGAAACGCGATCAAACGCCACAACATTCAAAACCCAATAATCAAAAACTCCCAGAACAAACAATGCAGCAATGAAATCATCAAAAAGTACACACATGCAAGCAAAAAACAATCATACAAAAAGGAAACAAAATAATCAGAGATGTAAAGCACCAGGAATCAGAGCAATAAACAAAGAGGGGTGAGAAAATTGACCTTTTTTTGCAAATGCGACGAGAGAGAGAGAGACAGAGTGGCGTTTGAAAGTGGGCGAAGGAGGTGGAGGAGGATGGAATGACAATAAGAAGGGAGGCCGACTTCAAATCTGGGCCGTTGGATTTTGTTGGAAATGTTGAAGACTTCAGACCGCGTCCAATGGGTTGTGTTAGGCTCCCTCGCTCTCTGCTCCAGTCATTTTTCTTATTTGGTTTGACCCTTTTGCCCCTTAAATTCCTATTTTCATTTCCACCACCAATTTGCCATTTGACATGGAGCTAGAATGGTGCTGACGTTATGTGAATTCAGTAGAGAGAGTGGCCCCTTTCTCGGTTTCATTCTTCTGCATTATGGTTAATTCGATCATTACTTGTGTCGACTTGACAACTTCAAAATGTTTTGATTTACACGACTGACTCATTAGCTCTAGACTTTCATTCTAAGTAGTTTTACAGTTTTACAGTTTATTGAGCAACAAATGTATATTTAGTAGAATATTTGAGCTGAAAACTAAAAAAATAATTGAAAAACATAGTAGTGAGTCTCAGAACATTGTCAAATGGGGTTCGACACTCAAATCTCAACGGAAAATGTCACCTTAATTTTCAAAACTTCACAATGAAGCGACAGTGAAAATGAATATATTGAATGGTGATTTATGTACGAATTTGCAAAACCGACTGAAAACCGTGATTCAAATTTTTTATTTTCTGGAAATATTTTTGGTGAGGATTAAGTTAATCTTTATAATGTATTTGGAGGTGGATTTATGATTTATTGAGCAATAAGTGTATTTTTAATAGAATATTTAAGCCGAAAAAAAAAATCAATGAACAATATGAAGATGTTAAAATTTATTTAAGTGTATATTTTTTATTTTTTATTTGTTAAAATTAGAAATGTTAAAATCATTTGTGAGTGAGGCTTAAACAAAGAATAGAAGTTTTGTTTTGTAAAAAGTATTAATATGTAGTTTAGATTCAAATAAAAGAAAAATTAACAAAAGAAAAAAAAAATCAAGTATCTTCAAATTTAGATTTTAAATCGTTGATTATAAGTGTTTAAATATGAATAGATTTTGCACAGAATAATATATTTGGAAGAGTATGAATATGACTGTTTGTTATAGTGGTAAGAAAAATTAACGAAAATGTACAAAAATGACTCAAATTCTGGTGGTGGTGGAAAGTCACACATGACGTTCTGCCACCCTATGAGTTTGAATCATTTTTGTACATTTTTGTTAATTTTTCTTAACAAAAAATAGCAAAATTTTGTTTTCTTAAATAGTCTTTCACCATTTTTTGATTGATAAAGAGAATTCTATTAATATGCGATTTATATTTAATTAAACGAAAAAAAAGAAAAAAAAAAAAAGAAAAGGTAAAACTCAAATGATCAACGCGCCTAAACTGAAAACGTTTAACCATCATCGGGGTATAAGCAAATGATCCTATTGAATGTGCAAGGAGGAATCTATTACTCATCAGTCATGCCATGTTGGCAAATGATTACATTTGGAATGCACAAGTAACACATCATCACCCTCGATGCATTCTGCTCTTCACGCTTTTCATCTCGATAGGGTTTTGCTAGCAAACTTAAACAATATGTCAGAAAGCTTTGATGCATCCGCGACAACATTAAAAAAACATTATTGAGTAAAAGGTATGGCAATGAACAACGTTTTTAGATGTCTATGAGGATCCACTTAAAAGTCACACAAATGTCGTTGGCATAATACAAATTCTCACTGTCACCAGCTAAGCCATGTTCTTCTTGAATGTGTTCTGATAGCATGGACCGATACGAGATTCTAAGCTACTTAGCATATATTAAGGAGAAAAAGATTCGAGCTTTGATCAACTGGACCGAGAGAGGATCACGGGGGTCCTCCAATCACATCTGTTTATCGTATATCGTGCAGTCAGTTTTCGTCAGTTACTGTTTATATTCAATTTTAAATAAAAAAACTTGATTTTTTGACTGCACAATGTACGATGAATGGATGTGATTTGAGGATCTGGCGAGGACCCTCACTCAACTGGACCTAACCCACATATGCTAATTGTTCATGTTTATGATGACTAAAATATAACACTATTCCTTCATCAGCCAACATCCAAAAAGCATTGCATCCTGTAAAGCTCTAACGAAATTATTGATTTCAATTCGAAAATACCAATAATTTAAGGGGGGGGAAAGGAGAAATTTCATAGTCAACAAGTGCAAATTACAACACAGTTCAAACAAGAAGAACAAGATGACCTATCTTTTATAGATCGACAAGCGAATCCTAAGTAGTTCAAATGAACAGTATCTAAACGGAATGCTACGATAAATCATGGGGTAAATATCAGATTTTAACTCCCTCAAGCCAGCATGGGTGGAATGGAATCCAGGAGCCAATCGCTTCTACAGGAATGGAGGTAGGATCACCCATCGGCGTGGATACTTGGGTCTTCCGTCTTTCCCATCAAATATCTGTGATGGCAAGGAGTTATAACAAATCATGTTAAATGCATTCCGATGCTTGAATAAAACATACATATGTTAGTATGTTATCCATAAAATATGGTTTTTCCTCAGTTCTATCAAACAGACGAATAGCAGCAGGAAAATGTAGGTTGTCAAGAAAGCTAATATTGATTAAATCAAATTACAAAAGTCATCAAACATAATAAGAACCAACAATCGTGAAATCAAAGTTCAGTTTACTAAGCATTTACTAATCATGCACGCAAACTAACCCAGCCATGCAGTGATACTCACTCTATACATGAAACTGTAACATATCTATATGCATGCATAGGGTTGTTCTCTAACAAGGAGATTGAACTTTTAAGCAACAAACACAAGCAGTTATCGGTGTAGCGAATAAAGTATTTGATTTGTAGATTGCAATAGTCTAGAAGATTACCTTCTTAAGACGTCGGTGCTTTGCAAGAGCCCAATTGGTCATGATGGAAGCGGCAACTATGAGAAAGATATAACCAGCGACTGTCTGCGTTGCTATATTGAAGCCCAACCATTGATAGATCTCTGTTGTGTAATTTGCACACGTCACAATATTGAACAGAAAACCCCGTGGGATTTGATATCCTCCATTTCCATCTGGGCTTCGCAGGTTCCTCAACAGGATATGACAATACAAGTTTGAGATTTGACATATTATCCCAAAACCAAACCCAATCTTCATTTGGAGGTCACTAACAGGGGTGTAAAGTGGGTGATTCAGGTAATAAGCTATGAAAGCGCCAAAGCTCCAATAGTAAGCACAATTCCGGAATACATTGGAGAGTGGTGAGGTTGCATGGCTGAAGCGATGTACGAAAAATGTTTCCATAATACGTTTGAAGTAGTGGAAGCACCAGTAGTATAGAGCATATGTCTGAACCGGCTGGATGACACGGTCACCTTTGAAGCCCAAGTAGTTGTAGACAGGGAAGTAGTAAAAGACGGGATAAAGGATCAAAGGGCCCAAATACTCAAAGAAGAAGAGTGTTCTGTAGGACACTTGTGGCCCCAGGTCCTTGAACACCACAGTTAAGTTATCTGAGTTCCCACTGATGTAATCTTGGAGACTTTTCTTGTAGCTAAGGACAACAGGCCTCTCTTTTGATCCTGGTTGGACAGGGAGAGTAAGCCGCTGTCTTGCAGGATAAAACTTTTTGGCTGTTCACACAAGACATAAAATCATTTACAATAACAAGAGCCGCTTATAGAAACACAAATTTCTTTTTGAAGTTTGTAACGGAACAAGGCACATAAGGAATTAATTATGACGGAGCATCAACAATGACATAAACCAACCTATAAACAAACCTACAAAAATAACAGATGTAAACACCAAATAATTCAGGCCAGCTACCGAAGTTCCAATCTTGCTAACAAATCCAAAAGATCCTACGGGTTTAAGTAGTTGTATTTCTAAACTAAAGAATGTGCACTATACACCAAAGTTTCCTAATTTAATCTTCATTTTCTTTCAAGTTCCAATGATATTAATCTCAAAGTACATCAGACATTTTCGGTATTCAAATAACAGCATAACCAATTACTCTTGTTTAGTACATTCTCTATTTCAGGCGTTTGACGGGGGAAATTGAGGTGAATCAGCTATCTTATTGGCTTTCAACAAGGTTCTTCAAAATTTCCCCTAACTTTCATACTTTAAATTCTTACATTAGCATCTATAAGTTATAGCTCATATGGATTAAAGGATGTTACCATATAGTTTGTTCTTTAATAATGTAATATTTGCAAAACAAGAGCAATACTTACTAATCTCATGAAAATACAATACTACATGATTGCATCTACAAAAATAATACAACCGGCAAAAGATGCATATGCAAAACTCAATTTCTAAACTAAAGCAAACGTGATGCAGAGCAGCAAGCTTTAAAGTCACAAATTGTAAGCTATAAATACAGCCCTCAATCAATCTTATCGTTTAATTAGAAGACGATAATCAACCCGAAAAATCAATCTCAATTCTCAAAAGACTACTTATTTAGCTATACAAGTCCAATAGCAAGAAGAAGCATATCCAGAACACTTACTTCGCTTATAGATTGCATCCTGCAGATCAGCTACAATGGCCTGCAACACAAACAGAGACACAATCAAACTCAGAAAAGCTAACAATTAACTAAACTGAACCTAACCAAAATTTGAAAATCTCATCCAAAACTTGAATCTTTAACTAAACTGAACGGAACCCAAATTCGAAATTTCCCATCCAGTGCAATCAAGTATTTCATTTTTCCAAAAACCCCGTCCAGCATAAAATTCAAAAATTAATGCTTTGTTTTCTCAGAAATGCAACAGATACGTCGATGAACAACAAAGCTATAAGATAAAAGAGAAGCATACAGAATCAGTGAGCTCAAGGCCGCCCTTGACAACTTCTCGGCCACTCCGCGAAACTACGGTCACCTTCATCGTCGACAGCAAGTGAGAGCGACCCAATTCAGCAAATCGATCAAGCAACAAACCCTTTTAATTCTTTCAGAAAAATCACGCAATTTCCATTCGAATTGCAGAGAGTGCGAATCAATCCGGAAAGAGAGAGAAATGAGGGTGAGAGTGAGATCCGGAAATGGGCTCTCTTCCTCCTTAATAACGACGTGAAATGTTGTTTGGGTGTTAAGAGTTAGTTTGGGGGATATCGGATGGATGGTATGATATTAATGGCGTGTGGTTGGGGTAGGAAATTAGGATAGCTAACTATCAAGGTTGATGAACAACACTTAACCCCAAACTCCTACGAACATGTACACTAGTGACTAATCCATATGAATAAGTTTGGAAGGGATTACCTATGGTGGGCCATGTATTTTAATAACCTATCCAATCTTGACCCATGTTGTTTTAGTGTTTGTCATCAATATCTGAGTGTGCTAAACTACTACGCTTATGACGTTCGATTCTCATTATCGGAGTATGTTTACTTATTTAGAATGAGAGAAGTCATGAATCAGAATGATACTTGGTTGTTAAGTCTTGAAATGACACATGTATGTTGAAGTACATGAATGTTATTTAAGCATGAAATTACAAATTTTAATGTGCACACCCTTTTATTTTTTAGTCGTTACATGTTAAACACAAGATATGTCATGAATGACCCAACCATGGTTAGTAACTATCCTCACAACTATTAATGTTAATGAGAGAACTTAAAAAATCTACGTACTCGTCATCTATCAATTGTTGGGTCCAATGAATGCTTTCTTATTCAAAACGAAGATTTAAAAGTATTCTCGATTATGAAACGAAATGTTGAGGAGCTTATTTGTGTAAAGAAAAACTTCAATATATATGGTCGAATGATGATTATGTAACTAATAATTTGGCCCACGTAAGTCAATACTAATACCAAATTAATCAAATTACTTAAGCCGTTGTTGCAGGTATTCAATGCCCTAACTAAAATCTATAGATTTATTGCTTTTAACTAACACTAAATGGCTAAGACATTAGTTAAGCTACTACCATACCTACCATTAATGGCATGGTAAGAGAAGCCACTAGGAAGGTGCAGAGCCATTATCCTTTCATATTTCATGTAACGTCACTTTAAACCATATGACGTGATTATTAAAGTTTGAATTATTACTCAAATATTGATTAACATGCTTATTTCTTATTGGTGACACACTGACACAACATAACTTGCAATGTGATTCAAAAAGGTAGTCTACATAGCATTACTCTTATCAATGTAATAAGAGGCCCTAGTCACCTATGCGGATCTGCCATGAGGTTCCTGTCACTTAACAGTGAAAATTCTTGAATCCAATATTTGGTCCCACCCAACCCCACGCTTGTCACAGAATTTCGAGTTTGCTGCCCTATACGGCTGCCACACTCGAGAACTCCTTACCAGTTTGCCCATCCAATGTGACCTTATCGACTCATATATCATTGATCAGTTCCAAGGTTCCATTGGAGTTTCTATCTACTGATCAAAACTAAACAGCATACCATAATTCACACAATAAATCCATCAGACCTGCAGCTTAATATCTCATTGTTTCCAACTTTCCACCCTTTGTGTGCATCTTTCCACTGTGAATCCGGCTATTTCTCTCAACCCTAGTACACAAACAAACACCTGGTCAATTTAATCACAATATCAGTCGACTCCTTTCACCATATTTATAAGCGGTCTGTTCTCCTTCTCTGAGAGCAAGTCCACCGGTGTATTTGGCCTGATGGACAAGCAACATAAATGAGACAATAGTCCCAACAATCAGCTCTAGCCCATGCGGGCAATGGGGCTTGGGGAAGGCCCAATGGATAGCCCAGGCACGAATCCATAGCCCGAGAACTTGAGGTCCAAGTGATGAATGGCTGACGTCAGCCACAATATAAAATTAATAAAAAAAATAAAAAATGTAAAAAAAGTAAAAAATCAATAAAAAAATCCGAAAAAATTAAACAAAAAAATAAAAAGATTTAATTTTTCAATAAATATGTTATCATTATCTTCCAACTTACATCATAATTTTATATTTTCTCAAATACTTTGAGTTGTAATTTCTTATTTAATGACACATGGTACAACGAGACCGATTAAAAATTATATCTGAAATTACAAATAAAATTATTTTATAAAATAAAAATACTAATATTTTATTGCCTATTGCCAGAACTATTCAGTGTAAGGATTGAGATGTAAAAGACAGTTACTGTTCATTAAAGATTATTCAATAGTAACTTGCCCTAGGGGCCTTTGCAACAATAGAGTTACTCTGAGTGTCAATCCTCGGCTCGTCTATACGCAGAAAAGATGTATTAGAAAGAAGAGTCTTAACAGTGCACCGAAATCGTACAGAAAGAACGAACCATGTACCACTGGCGCAGAGAGAACCATGGGTTTCCACAAGCAGAAAAACACCCACAGTTTTGGACTCTGTAAGTGCCAAAAAGAATCAGGACATGCATCATAGGCAGAATGAATATACGAGTACAATTTTTCCACGAGAGTTTTAACGAAAAACCATATTTTTACTTTTCCCTGATACTATTAACTACATTTTTATTTGTCATTTTTCATTAAAACTAAAGTTTTTTTTGAACTTTTCGTTAGTTTTTCTTTTTTCCATACCATCTTGAACGAATAACAAAACGAATTCCAGTTGAAAAGAACTGGTAAGGTGAGAATTGTGCAATCAGTCATGTGTGGCAGCAATTGTAATGAAAACTTCAAGGTGGCACAAAACACATTTCCTGAGTCAGTGAAAAGTGTCTAATTTTCAACTTTTCCGTCACAAAATGCCTAATTTTCAGACATCAACTAGTTGAAGACACTATTCCATAACCAACCAAAACTAGTTGCAGAACGAAGGCTCAATTCCATAACCAACCAAACTAGAATGCAGGCAGGTAGTGGCCAGTCAAAGGAAGTCTCATACTAGCAAAATGGAAGTTACACAATAAATCATTGAAGTAGGGTCAAAATCACCACCATAACTAACAAACAGAGCACATAAGTACAATTTGTTATCCCAGACTCCCAGTAATGAATACTAAGACGACATGAAAACCTCATAAATGGCAGCAAAATCTGAGGAGGCTAAAGTTACTTAGTACTTTATGCTTAAGTGCAAAAGTGAGAGCTCAGCCACACCTACATGTCCAACTCTTGATATTAAACAGTAAGAAAACAGGTCACAAGGAAACTCTGCAATGTTTTGGTAAGATGGATTGGTCGAGAGTAAGAGCACTGAAAATTGGGCAACATCATCACGGACAATAAAAGAATATAAAAACACAAACAGCATCTAATTAGGCAAAGCGTGATTAAAATTCCCACTTTTCTTTGTTTTCTTCTAAGTACTGTAAAAATTGCATATTTGATTGCTATATGCATTGTAAATATCCATATTATATCAGTAAGTAATTATACTATTTATGTATATAACCACAAGAATTGACAATTGGCAACAGATTGTCCACAAACTTAAATAAACCAGAACAGTTAGTGATAAACATTGCAAAAACAATCATAAAACTCTCAAGTCATGCTTCTCTAGTACTCAACATGAACACAGATAATTTCTTGAACATACAACCAGAGATAAGTAATATCAGAATAGACTTTCAAAACAGGGTAACGTATCTGAAATGCAGATGGTCATCATAGACAAGTATTCTACCAAATTCACTACGCAAGTTTACAAATATCCTCATACTCAACGGCTTTAAGCACTCTACCGTCATACACACCCTTCTCTATCTGCACCTTAGCGCAAAAGTTATCTGTGTCGACCGCCAACAACTTTGCATTTGATCCTCTGTAAGCCCCATTGACTATCTTCACAAGGCACCCAAGATTCGGAATCACGGTTTCAAGCTCAGCCTGGTCAACTCTCAAGACATGCTTGCTTTCAAGCATTTCAATCTCCCCAACATACTTATCAATCACTTTCCTCACAACCCCTTTTCCCTTATAGTAACCCTTGTCAGCCAAGGCTTTACTCATCACTTTAACAACGATTCCCTCACATAACCAATAATCCTTCCTATTAATCCTCTCCTTCTTCTTCTCCTCCTCCCTCATCAACTCCTCCAAAGCCAAGCTTCTGGCGTCACCGCCACTTCCATCTTTCGCCTTCTTAACCTTTCTCTCATTCGTCTCATCCTCCACCTCATCGAACACCAATTTCGCACTCCCCCCTTTCTCTTTAGGTCCCAGTTTCGAGGACCCAAGCGCAAATCCAATCTTAACCCCAGGCTCCAATTTCACTTCCTGATTGGCCTCAGCCTCCGAACCCTGATCAGACCCATTACCCACCGGCATAGACTGACAAACCCTCTCAATCTGCTTCTTAATCTCCCTCTCCTGCTTCTCCTCATCCGCCATATCCGCCCGAAGACGCTTGTTCTTCAACCTCTCCTTAAAAAGCGTCTCGGAATCCCGATCAATATACGTAATGAACCAACCCTTCGGCGTCTCGTCAACCTTACACTTCCCAGTCCTCCCCAAATGCTTCACGAACTCAGTCAGCGTCGCCCACTCGGTGGAATTCATATGCACGTGATGGCGGTCGTTGATGTACTCGTTGTACACGACGGTGGCGGCGATACGGCTGAACCGGTGGCTCCGCTTCATCAAATCAAGAAAACTCCGCTCGAACTCCTCGGTGTAACCGTCGACGATGCGATTGGAGTTCTCGCCGAAGATCTGCATCTGGCGCTGGTGGCTCTCGCTCATGCAGTGGCACTTGAATCCGTTCTCGTCTCTGCATTGCTTCTGGCACATCTGGCAGTACCATCGGAGCTTCTGGAGTCCCTTGGCCTTGATTCGATTGGCGATTGCCTTCGGTGTAAGGAAATCGTTCTTTCCCATGAGGATTTTAGGGCAGAGAATTGGATGGGATTTGAATTGGGATTGTGATTTGGGGAATTTGGGAATATAAAACCCTAGGAACCGGAGCAAACACTCGAGTTCACGACTCTCCCCTTTTCCATATCGAAAGAGTTTTAAAATGATTTTGGTAGAAATGTTTTTTATATTAATTTTTAATAAAAATTTAAATGGATTGTAATTTTTGAAAGAAATATCAGATATGTGCTTTTTGTAGAATCCACACAAATTTTAAAATGCTTCTTTCAAAATATACTTACAGTGTTTTTGAAACTCAAAATTAATTTGACCAAAAGTGTTTTTATACATTGCCATAAATCCTTTTCCTTATTAAAAAAAAAAAATAATCCTTTATTTGTTTTTATTTTTAACAAAGAAAATAATAGGAAAATTGGTGGCTATTAAGCACCTAGGTTTCAATTTTTTTTTTTAACAAAGAAAATAATGCGATCAATTTGCACATTATTAGGTTTATGTTTAGTGAACTGTTACTTTATTTATTTATTTATTTTTTGTCAAATGATAAATTTTGTTAGATTAGTCACTAACAAGGTTCGAACCTACACCATCATATAAGGGCTCAACTCATTTTTACTACTATGATAAAGGGCCACTTGCGTTTAGTGAACTATTAACTGTTGACGTAATAATACTAAACTTATTCCAATAACTATTATCGTACAAAAGAGAATAAATTAAGGTTATATTCAAGATGGATTATGATTTTCACACTCTCGCTTTTTTTTTTTTGGATAAGTAATTATTGTTTAAAAAAATATTGATAGTGATTTTCACACTCCTATTCACATTTTATTAGCTTATATCTCGTGATTCTACATTGATTTATTCAATTAGGTCTAAATATAAAAAGAAGAGTGAAAATCACAAAAAAAATGTGAAATTTGTTGAATATCAAAATGTTGAGTTGCAATGTGAAAACTGGGAGCCCTATGATCGATTTTGAAAGTGACCCCAAACGTAATGATGCAAAATGTACTTGACCCTAAATCCATTATTATCAGTCTTTAATTGCCTATTTATCTTTAGTTTCCAGATTATCAACCCAAATTCTCATTTTTCTTTACTCAAATCTAGAACTTGCCAAGCCAAACCTACGAAAGAAGACACTTGTCACAACCCGTCCCGGAATTTTAATTCCGAGAACGTGAAGTTATGAAAATGCCCTTAAACGGGACTAAGGGGCGTAAAATATGTTGTAACTTGATGATTTAGGGATTGGGTAGGATCCCACATCCCTCAAATCTCTCCCCCATTTCTGCATCTTGTCTCTCTCTCTCTCTCCTCCCTCACAAATCTCTCATTCACTCTCTGTTCTCTCTCTCTCCTTCGAACTCACACTGACCACTCACAAAACCACCCTAAAACTATACCAACGAAGGATCTAAGACCACCATCGTACTCCTGAGGACCACACGAACACGATGGTACCAATTTCAGGTGAGTTTCACTTCGGAAAACATGGATTTCAATTTTACTGTGCGTGTGCACTGTTCATGCACACGTAAAGCTTGATGTTTTTGAGATTTTGAAGCTTGTAGGAAGCTTGGTGAGGTCCTAAGGAAGCTCGGAGTGCTTCGTTTGAAGGATTTGGACGTCGGGATAGCTTGGTTCAAAGTTGGCCTGAGCTTTCGAGGCTTTTTCCGGCGAATCCACGCCGAGTTAGGGGTCGAGGCAGGTATGGATGTGTTCGTCTCGTCAATACCTTCATTTTGATATAAAGTACGTCGAAAATGGTTAAGAAATGAAGAAGTTATGACACTTTGAAGTTTACCCAGAAATTCCGGCAAAACACCCACCTCCGGCGAAACCAGTCCGGCGACGCGAGGAAGAAGACGCGCGCGTGGGCAGCGCGTAGACTGGGCGCGTGAGGGCGCGTGGGACCTCCAAATTGAGTTCTGAAAATTGTCACGCGTTCGTGACGTCGTGTAGATCACCGTGGTATATTCACACACCCAAATTGAGCAACGTATGAGAAAGTTATGGACGAATGTTTGGTGTATGCGCGTTAAATAACGTCGATTTGGTTACTTTTTGTATAGGTGAAAAATTATACAGAAGAAGAATGTAACCAATCTAGGGGAGGCTCAGGGACCTACGAGACGTCGATGTGATCTGTGAGTGGGCAGTTATTTTTCAGTATATATATATATACGTATGCTTGACGTATTTACCATAAAACGTATTTTAAAAGAAATACGAATTAAATATCCTGTCATATATGCATCATATTTTAATATGTGCATTACCATAATTATGCATACTGTTGCATGGTGCTGAGGAGGCCCAGGTAAGCTACATTTAATATACGTATGAAATACATTTAATATACATATGAAATACGTTTGGAATACGATTGAAATACTATGGAAATACAAATGAATTATGATTGTGATATGATTGAAATATGATTGAGATATTATGCTGATAACGATCATGAGATATGATTGAGATATGAAGAATTATATGATAGAGATGTGATAGAGAGCTCATAACCTGCACCCTCCGTGTGAGTGCTCCCGCCCTGAGCAGGGCCCAGCCTTCACGTGATGTTCACCTCACCGCACCTTATGCTCAGCTTGGATCCAAGCTAGGTGCCCAGCCTGTCGTACAGACCACATTAGGTGGTTCCGACTCGTAGGTGACCCGCGATTATTCGCCCAGCTTCACGTGATCGTAGCACTAAAGCGTATTTATACGTCACACCCAGCCTTGTCGTACAGACCACTTTAGGTGGTTCTGACATCGTGGTCAGGTTCAGTTGTTTAGTTATTGAGATTGAGATTTGAGCTTTAGATTCAGCCGTACAGGTCACTTTAGGTGACTCCCGGCTGCCAGTAACATGTTATTGATATGGTTTATACCTGAGCACTTGCATATCATTATGAGGCTTTGATTGGCATACCTGTGAGTGTAATTGGCATACCTGTGAGTATGATTGGCATACCTGTGAGTGTGATTGTCATACCCTTGAGCTTGATTGACATATCTATACATACGTATATATGTTTATTTTCCAGAAAAGTATATAGGTTTTACGGAGAGGGGTTACAAAGTTTTGAGAAGTGTTTGGATTTGGAAAAGAATTGTTTTACTGACCCACTCAATTTTGGTTTTGCGCCCCTCCAGATTCAAGTATATGCAAAGGTGTGGTGACTACGAGGAAATTCAACGGTGTTCTGACAGAATGGACCAAATGAGGACTCACCTTCGGGTGGTTCATCTTAGAAGTTGTATATTTTAAAGCTTCCGAACTGTGTAAATGGTTACGTCACTCCCACGTGACGGCCAGCATGCCCTCTTTCGGGATGGGGTGTGTCACACTCGTTAGAACTCATTGATATCTTTGAAAAAAAAAAGTTACATTTAGTCAAGCAGAAACATAACCATTTCCCTTTGGGATGCAAGAAGTTACACCACATTCTCAATTCCTTCGTAATTAGTTCTTTTGTTATTGTCAATTCTAACCTTCTTCTTTAGGTCGATGGAAATATCTTCAACAGAGTCACTGAGGATGTCATTATCATCGACATATATCAAAGCAAATTTTGATTTTAGGAACAACCTTAGACCATCTCCAACCCTTGGGGATAAAGCTTAAAAATTTAAGGCAGAATATTTTAAGCCATAATCCAGAAACTGATTTTCTTCTCCAATCCTTAAAATTTTAGCCCGAGATTATTAAATAATAATAGGTATTTAAATTCTGATAAGTAATTAAAAATCAAACAAATACATAGGTATTTATAAAGTTTTAGGTTACTTCTGGTTTAATAATTTTCTTAAATTATTTTAGACGTTAGATTTAATTTTGGGCTATCAAATCTTTGTTTTACCATTAGATTTACTCTCATTTAATTATAGCCGTTAGATTATAAGTAAAAAATTAAAATGTTTGAAACACGATAGTTTGGTGGGTCCAGAATAATTTAAACCAGGTTAAATCTTGAGAGGAATCTAGCCATAGATATATTTTTCTCCCATGACTTATTTTAGCCTAGTGGTTGGGAATGGAACCTAATTTATTCTATATTTAATTAGGATTTATAAAGTTTTATAAAAGTGAAATTCGGATGTATTCGAAATAAATTTTAATAGAGCCCACAAAGTTTAATAGGGTGTATTCAATCAAGATTTGACAAATCATACCTCTTCCGAATTGATCCCTATGAGATTTTCAAGAAATTTACACAAAATTCACATAGAATTTATGAAAGTCTATTAAAACTTCATCAAAATTCATCATAATCAAGATTTAACATCGGAATGCCAAATGAAAACTCTAACAACGCCTCATTCAACTAATTGATAGTTGATACCAATACTAATGTTCCAATCTGATCCAGCCTACCAAATAGGTCTTTAGTTCACTTTCTCAATTCCTTCAAAATTCCTAATGTCACTGTCACTCTTGATTGTAATCCCTTTCTTTTGGCCGGTGGACTTGTCTTCCGCGGAGACATTCAGGATACCATTGGCATCAATATTGAAACAAACTTCAAATGAAGGAACACCTTGCGGAGCTGGAGGAATACCATCAAGGGTAAATCTACCCAAAAAGTTATTGTTTTTAGCTATGCTGCTTTCACCCTCATAAACAGGAAAGCCCACCGTAACTTGATTGTCATAAGCGGTAGTTACACTTGTTTTCTTCATGACTGGAATTCTAGAATTTCTTGGGATCACAACGTTCATGTATAACTTGGAACCATCCCATTCTTCACACTCAATTCCAAGTGATAAAGGGGTGACATCCAAGAGAGTGAAGTCTTGAAGCTTCCCATTTCCATTCCCACTCAAGACTGCAGCTTGAACAGCAGCACCATACGCAATTGCCTCATCCGGATTGATACTCTTGCACAACTGCTTCCCCTTGAACACATCCTGCAATAGTTGCTGCACTTTGGGAATTCTAGAAGATCCACCGGCAAGAACAATATCATGGACACTGCTTACTTCCATATTGGCATCCTTCAAACACTTCTCGACTGGCTCCAGACACTTGTTAAAGAAATCCATATTCAGTTGCTCAAATTTGGCACGGGTAATAGTTGTATAGAAATCAGTTCCCTCATACAAACAGTCGATTTCAATGTCAGTGGCTG